AAACTCTTAGAAGACAACATAGGCAAACATCTCCTGAATATAAGCATGAGCAACTTCTTCCTGAACCCATCTCCTCAAGAAAGGGAAACAAAAGCAAAAATGAATTCATGGGACTACATCAAACTAAAAAGGTTTTGTACAGCAAAGGACATCATCAACAAAACAAAAAGGCATCCTACAGTATGGGAGAATATATTTGTAAATGACATATCTGACAAGGGGTTAACATCCAAAATATATAAAGAACTTACACACCTCAACACCCATAAGCAAATAACCAATTAACAAATGGGGAGAGGATATAAAGAGACAGTTCTCCAAAGAAGAAATTCAGATGGCGAACAGACAGATGAAAAGATGCTTCATATCACTAATCATCAGGGAAATGCAAATTAAAACCACAATATCACCTCACACCAGTAAGGATGGCCAGCATCAAAAAGACTAAGAACAACAAATGCTGGTGAGGATGCGGAAAAAGGGGAACCCTCCTACACTGCTGGTGGGAATGTAAGCTAGGTTCAACCACTGTGGAAAGCAATATGGAGGTTCCTCAAAAAACTAAAAATAGAAATACCATTTGACCCAGGAGTTCCACTCCTAGGAATTTACCCAAAGAAAACAAGATCCCAGACTCAAGAAGACATATGTACCCCTATATTTATCGAAGCACTATTTACAATAGCCAAGAAATGGAAGCAACCTAAGTGTCCATCTGTAGATGAATGAATAAAGAAGATGTAGTACATATACACAATGGAATACTATTCAGCTGTAAGAAACAAATCCTACCATTTCCAACAACATGGATGGAGCTGGAGGATATTATGCTCAGTGGAATAAGCTAGGCAGAGAAAAACAAATGCCAAATGATTTCCCTCATTTGTGGAGTATAACAATGAAGCAAAACTGAAGGAACAAAATGGCAGCAGACTCAGAGACTCCAAAAATGAACAAGTGGTTACCAAAGGGGAGGGGTGTGGGAGGGCGTGTGGGGAGGGAGGGAGAAGGGAACTGAGGGGTATTATGTTTAGTACACATGGTGTGGGAGGTCACGGGGAGAACAGTGTATCACAGAGAAGGGACACAGTGGATCTCTGGCAACTTGCTGCACTGATGGACAGTGACTGCATTGGGGTATGGGTGGGGACTTGATAATATGGGTAAATGTAGTAACCACATTGTTTTTTTATGTGAAACCTTCATAAGAGTGTATATCAATCATACCTTAATAGAAAATTTAAAAAAAAAAAAAGAAAGGTAACTGAAACAACACACTAAGAACAGGCATAGCTGCAGAAATTCTTTTTTTAAAGTTTTATGAAGGAGTGAAAATTGGTACATTCTAAAATGTAATACTGATTTATGTAAATAAACGCTACCTTGGTAATGTTAAAAAAAGAAAGAAATGATGCTATTGGGTAAGTTTATACCTAACCCCTTTCATGATCTCTCCTTACCTTGTAGAAAAGAAGTTCTGGTTTTGTGGCAAACAGATGGCTGCAGTGCTGACACCTGAGTTTAACAACTGTATGGGTTAAATTAGCCTTCTGGGATTGGGCAGCAAGAGACTGGAGACTGGCCGCAGCAGAGCCCCTGGTGCAGCTGGGGAAAGCAGCACAGGGGTTACCTCCTCCCACTGACACTGCTGACCCGCAGGGTGGGCTTACAACCACCTGGCCCTGAGACAGGGGCACCACTGAAGAGTTTATTCCTTTTGGCTTGTTAAATACATTCTGAATGAACACAAAGAAGGCAAAGATTTTATCAACTGAGAAACAATTTGGTAATTTTCATTTTCTCATTTTCCTAAGTTCCCCAACAACATTTCTTCAAAATTTTATAAAGTAGTTTACAAAAAGAGTTTAAATGGCATTCTTCAAGAGTAGAAGAACTGAGAAATGCAACATTAAAAGGTTGAGGACTGAAATTCAGGCTTTCCAGACAAACAGCTCTAGTATGTGACTCTAGTAAATTAGAGCAGGGCTCTCCCTTACCCAGTGACACCCCACCACCTGCACTCCCAGCACAAATCTGCCTCTGATGGCTATTAAGAGCACAATGGCCACCAGTAGTCTTTCTACCAGTGCCAGGGATACTACATTAGGCATCTTCCTACCCTGGAAGATCACTAACCTCTACTCTTTTCAGAGTGAGGCAAAAACTGGGACAAGGGGAGGCTTACAGTTCCGTGCCAAGAGTCATTATGTCTGGCCCAGGATGAGAGGAAGAGACAGGTGAGCACATAACCACACACCTATCCAAACCATAATCCTAGCTTTCACCCTTTTGAAAGGGAGAGAGAGCCAAGGGAAGATGTGGGAAGGAAGGGTAGTTTAGGTGAGGACTCTGAATAAGGAAGAAAGCACTGGGCTTATACATTTTGCAAAAATGACCGTTGGGGCCATAGGCGAATAGAACTTTTTTAACTTAAATTTAATTTTTTATAAGTATGGACCTTCAGGAGTTAACATTTTCCACAGATCAATGTCTAAGAGAACTTCAGGAGTAAAATAAGACCATTGATCATACCTGGAAAGCCACTACACAACGGGGGCTGCAGAAGCTGTAAATAGTCCCACTGGACACGGCTAGGTGATACTGAGGAATCACTGAGGTTTTACAACTATGACATGAAACCTGGACACCTTGGTGAGAATAAATAAAAACCAATGCAGATGTTACACAGATGAAGAAAAAAGAATCTGGAAATGTATTAGGAGAATCAAAAAACAAAGTAATAAACAAAACAAAAATCAAGAAACTTTAGGATAATCTGTAATGTAACTAACTTTAAGTCCTGCTTATACAAAAACTAACTTGCAACTTGTTTTTTTCTTTCTTTCCACATATGACACTACAAAATGAATACCTCAACCAAGAAAGTCAATGAAAAAATATTTTCACTTAAAAATCAGTTCTTTGAAATTAGATCTACCTTGATCTTTATTTAACCATATTGATAAATATAGTTTATAACAAAATGAAAAAAATCAGTTACATTCTTCAATAGCTACTAACTCTATAAATATATCTATATAGTTTATAACAAAATGAAAAAAATCAGTTACATTCTTCAATAGCTACTAACTCTATAAATATATCAAACTTAAACATTACCTGAAGAACTAACCATCTTAACTCTGTAAGCAGATAAACAATTAACAGAGCAGAAAAGCTCTGTTTTTCCTGAGTCATTCGTAGTCTCAATCATTTCAGCTGAGGGCCTCAATGATTTCCCCAAGGCAAATGGAGGCATTTGGGCTGAATTCTGTTAAGAAAATAAAATAATGTTTAGATATCTAGTACATGCACACATATGTACATGTTGTTTAAGAAAAGAAAAAAGAAAGGCTACCTACAACCACTGCCTTTGTTTGAGCATGACAATGAGGCCACACTAAATACAGACTTCTCCAAAGTTGGGATGTGGAAAAAAAGAGTTATTTCAGACAATAATAAAATATAAACTAAAGAAAATTAGTAACTACTCAGATACATTAGCAATGACAAAACACATTAAAAGTAATGAATTAGGTATAGTCATACTCTTCTCATCACAAATACCATAGAAGACCAGATATTCCATGAACCAAAGGGCCATACTCAGTACAGACTTGGACATCAGTCTAGGAGACACTCTACCATATTTAAAGTTATTTAACTAGTAAGACTCTTTAGCAGGAGGAGAATGACAATTTATATGTATTAGGAGATCCCACAGAAATAACTATTTTTTCAAGCTTTTTCATAGTAAAATTGCCTCTAAGTTTATTCATATTTTAAGAAAAAAAAATAATAATGGCTACCATGTATATAAAATACCAACATTTTTTAGTATATACCATGAGCCAGGCCCCATTCTAAGCAATCTGTATACACTGTACCATAGAATCCTCTTCACAGGATAGTGTGACACTTTTAAAAATTATGTTAAAATAAAAACACTTAAATTAACAGAGTTGTTAGAAATTAAACTTATTTCATCTGACTCCAAAGTTCCACACTCCTATACCAGTGTGACATTATACAGACACTGACACAATATAAGGTCTCCCAATTAAGAAATCACATGGGGAAGTAAATGATAGAAAAACATAAATTGTGAAGTCTCACTATACAACCTTCCTGGAAAAGAGAAACATCATTTACACAGTTGACAGAGTATAATACCAGAAACAAACTTAGGAATGGAACTGATTTTTGGATCATGTATATAAAAATAACATGGATTCTGGAATGTAAATTAGTTCAACCATTGTGGAAAGCAATATGGAGGGTCCTCAAAAAACTAAAAATAGAAGTAACATTTGACCCAGGAATTCCACTCCTAGGAATTTACCCAAAGAAAACAGGATCACAGATTCAAAAAGACATATGCACCTCTATGTTTATCACGACGCTATTTACAATAGCCACAACATGGAAGCAACCTAAGTGTCCATCAGTAGATGAATGGATAAAGAAGATTTGGTACATATACACAATGGAATATTATTCAGCCATAAGAAGAAAACAAATCCTACCATTTGCAACAACACGGATGGAGCTAGAGGGTATTATGCTCACTGAAATAAGCAAGGCAGAGAAAGACAAGTACCAAATGATTTCAGTCATCCGTGGAGTATAACAAAAAAGCAAAAACTGAAGGAACAAAATAGCAGCAGACTCACAGAACCCAAGAATGGACTAGCAGTTGCCAAAGGGAAAGGGGTTGGGGAGGGTGGGTGTGAAGGCAGGGAGAAGGGAATTAAAGGGTATTATGATTAGCACACATAATATAGGGGGCATGGCAGTAGAGCACAGGTAAGACAAGTAGTGACTCTATAGCATCTTACTATGCTGATGGACAGTGATTGTAATGGGGTATGTGGTGGGAACTTGATATAGGGGGAAAGGTAGGTAACCACAATGTTGCTCATGTGAAACCTGAGCATAAGATTGTATATCAATGATACCTTAATAAAATTTTAAAAAAAGGAGAAATGGCAAAAAATAAAAAATAAACAACATGGATTCTATTCCTATGAAAATAGTAACCAGGCTACCAAAAGTGGCAATTCCCAGGAAAGGGCTGCTTTTCAAAGATGAAATGTCCATTACCAACTGCTCAGAGTAATTAAAAATAAATGAAACTTTCTAACTAACTGAAAAAAATTTTTAATTGTCACTTACACCTTTTTTTAAATTAAGGTATTCTTGATATACAGTCTTATGAAGGTTTCACATGAAAAACAATGTGGTTACTACATTCACCCATATTATCGAGTCCCATCATCATACCCCATTGCAGTCACTGTTCATCAGTGTAGTAAGATGCCACAGATCCACTGTGTGCCTTCTCTGTGCTACACTGTCTTCCCCCATTTATATCCTCTTAGAAACACTTATTAAAGACCCCCAAATCATTAGCAATAATTAAATCAACACAAATTGATATTATTTAGTAACCAAATCATCATTACAATAAATAAAAATTAGCTTAAGTATTCTAATAAGGTAATTAAGTGATGTTGCCAAAATAATTACGATTCCTTCCAAAACACATTTAAAAATTATTTTCTAAAGGAAAAAGATATGTTTTAGATTCACTGATTTTATCATCTTTGATCACAGCTTATCTACAATAACAGGAGATTTTTTCACTCTCAGTCTATCACAAAATATTTCAGATTCATGAATTACATTTGTGAATTCTTGGCCATGAAGGAAACCTTAAAAAATTATCTAGTTCACCTATATTATTCACACTACCACAATTAATCCTAACAGTAACAGACTCTATCTCACTTTCAGTGAGGGCAAATCACACACCACGATAAACTGTGAAGAGCTCACTCTTCTATTTTGCATGTCATCCCCGTACAGCCATCTCAGAAGGGATGCGCCTAACTATATGCAGCGGACTGGTATCATACCTGCTTATATGCTGTGACACTTGTGGAGCTAAAAACCTTCTGGGACTGGCAAGGACCAGAGCTGCTACAGCAATAGCTCCCACAGTTCTCACAACAGTTCATGGTGAGGTTGTTAGTAGAGTGAAATTTTGAAAAACAGGCATCACTACAAAGACCATGTAACACATTTTGAAATTTAACTTCAAATCGAATCTAGGAAATAAAAACACATACACATAAGGAATAAGCAGAGCCAGTTATAAATCTCTGATCTTTAAGCAGAACCCCGATAAAGGTAAAATGTAACTTACATCAGCATTCTTCTGACACAGACTGCACTTAGCTGAAATGCTATTGGTATATATGGTAACAACAGGTTTTTTCTTTAACTCATAGGAAGAAAGGCATGATTGGCTGCAGAAATCTTTGCTGGGAGAAGAATTTTCAAATCGGATTGTGATCACCCCCTTTGGATTTAAAATGTCTCTAAAAATAAATAACAAAGGCAAAATGAAATGTGTTCTAATTGTAATTTCTTCCTCATTGCGAGCTAAAATAACTACACTTACTAAGGGCAGCTATTGAAAAGTAGAAAACAGCTGCCCCTGCATAAGGTGTCTGGAAACCTGAGTTGGATGATTAGTTCTGTTACTTATCAGCTGAGTGACAGTGAGTGAAGCAATTATTCTCTCAATTTCCTCATGTATAAAATGGGGTTTATAATACCTAATGTATGGATGTGTTCAGGGAGAATTATATTTAAAATATATCCAACCAGATGCTCATGACAAAAACAGTGAGGCTTCCAGCTCCAACCAAGTTTCATCCACTGAGTCAATAGAAAAGTGACCATCCCCCAACTCCAGACCATAAAACACTCGTCCATTTTCTAGCCAGCTGCCAAGAGGAAAAACATGGATGAGATAAGAAAATGGTTTTTTTTATTTAAATGCAATATTTGGGGAACAAAGTACCAAAATTAACATAAAAAGTAGCATGGTATTAACTATAACTGAAGAAATTTAGCTATAACTAAAGAGATCAAAGAAGCAGATGACAAAAGGGCTATTGAGTCTTGGTAGCAGAGGACAAATGGAAACAAGAATGAAGACACAAATCATTGAGTTTTTCTGTGAGACTCCTAGAGTCATTTTCTAAGAGCTCATTGTTGCATTAAGCGCTGAAAGTAAAAACAGAGGCTAAGTATTGCCATTCTTCTGCTAAGTATAAAAACTGAAGGAAACAGTTACAGTAGTATAGACCACCAAGTAAAGAATAATAAATTGTATACTACAATAATGTATACCAAGAAATTACTATGTGCCAGGTATTGTTCTGTTTATTCAAATTACACAATTTTAATTATCACAAAAACTCTATGAGGTATTATTATAATTGCCATTCTACAGATGAGGAGACCAAATCAGAAAAGTTAAATAACTGGTCAAAGTCATACAGCTGGTAAGAAGTGAAGCCACAACATAAATCTGGGCAATCTGATTCTGCAGTCCAACGAGTTAATCATTTCACTATTCTGCCTCCCATACTGTACCTTTTTATTACATAGAACTCTTCCATTGTAAGCTATGAAAGAATAACAATAACAAAGTACTTTAATTTTCTAACTCACCTAACCTTAAAAATACGGCAGTGAGTCTTGGAAACCAAATGGATATGCTTACACACAGATGAAGTACTAATTCTGAAAAGCGTTTTTCTACTAAGGACAAAGAAACAAAGAATTTTATTTAATAAGATGAATCTGCCAGTGGCATAATGTATAAATAAATATAAGTAAACCAATGAGAATGGCTTTTTTAATGAAAATCTATGGACATAAATATAAATGCATTTAAACCTTATGCATAATATTACACTCTCTCTTGGAAAAACCATACCTGTTCCAACAACAACATGGCTCAAACATTTTTTGTAACTTCTCTTTTTGTTTATAAGAACTCTAAGAACAACTTTTTGATTTTATAGTTAAGTGTCATGTTAAACAGTGTGAACCAGTTTAAACATCTATGACAGCTGATAGGACATCAACTAACGTTTGGCAACTTGGAAAAACCAAACCATGCTGAAAACAGACTGGTCATCTAACTTAGCCTAAAGGAATGTTTCAAAGGCACTGGAGGCAATGCCAAATAAACAAGATCAAAATTTTTTTGAGTAAGAGCAGCACTGTGCTAAAAATTCCCTGACAAGAGTGACCTTTTTTTTTTAAGAGTGACTATTTTTAAGAGAATAATATGCATTTGGATTCTTTAAAATTTAATTCATTTTCTTTTGGTATTTGATCTGTTGAGTATCTAAAAAACAGAAAACTACTCTTCCAAATCAGTTTCATGACAATGACATAAAAGAATTAAAGCATTAGAAAGGCATTTAGAAAAAACTAAATTTGAAGATTTAAGTAAAATTTTATTAAAGTTCTTCTCCCTTTTCATTGGAGAGTTCCATTTTAACAAGATGTGCTTTTAGATACCTAAGGCCAACACACCCAACAGATTAAGAAACTGTCATCTATCTCCAAAGACAAAAGAGGGCCCTGCAAATTATGTTAAATATACATAATATTAATGTTATTATTAAAAATAATAGGATCCCACTAAGCATTTGCTATGTGCTAGGCCCTGTGCTAATATTATCCTCATTAAAATCTGAGAAAGTAGATACTATTTACCAATAAAGAAACCAAGGCTAAGAAAAGTTTTCTAGCTCAAAGTCATCCAGCCTGTAAGTGACAGAGCCATGGTCCAAAACCAAGCTCTTAACTTTTCTTGCCCTACATTAGTGGCTACTGACAATGCACTGCATCCCTAGAATTTCACTACCACAGGAATAGGCAAAACATGCCAAATTCTTCAAACTTACTCAAGTAAGTTTGAAGTAAAGAAAGAAGTTTATGTGACTTTGTTGCTATTTCTTCCTCACTCTGTATCTTTACATTATAGTCCCAACAAATGGCCCCAGCAAAAGCTCACAAGGATTTTTTAGAAATAAACACAGTATTTTTGTGGCCATTTTGAGTTTTTACCTTATAAAGAATTAACTTTCATGTACTATTAGATGAGTCATATTTATTCTATACTTCAATAACTTTCAAGATAACCATTTTGAATGACTGCTGTCTACAATTATAGGATATATATGGTCCTGCAATTCCTACAAATGGTTTGTTATTTCTTTACACAGTAAAATTTAAACTGAAAAGGATAGGAAAGTTGGTTTAGGCAATACCTTTAACACAAAGTCACTTATTTAACTTTAGAACTTGCAAATTTCTCAATTAGCTAAAAAGCTACTTCCAAAGCAATGTGCTAGAGATTTAAAGTAGCAACAGGTGTTTGAACTGAACTATATATACACTAAAAAAATAAAGTTAAAAGGGAAATAATTAAGAATTTTATACTTCAAGCAGTTTGTGCAGGTTTTCTTGGGAGGCGGTGGTAGTAGACAGACAGGTGAAGAATATCCAGTGATGCATCGTGTGGAGCAAAAGAGCTGAGTAGATCCTGTCTTATGATATGCAGTTTGCCCCTCACAAAGCATTTTTTTACAACCAGAACAAAAAACCTGAATAGCTATAGCTGGAACTGAAGGAAGCAATACATTTGGGCCAGATGATGGAAGAGAAAACTGAAAGCCTGGTGTCAATTGTTGGGCTATGAAAACAAAATAAGAAAAACAAAAACAGTTTTAGTATCAACACAAAACTATATATATTTTCTATTTTTTAGGACAAATTCCCTCAGTCTTGAAAGCCAATATTAATGAGACAATAAGCACTCCAAAATAGAGGGTTTCAAGCTTTTTATACCATGACCATAGTAAGAACTACATTTTACATGATAACATAGGACATACATACATGTGTTTGTATGTGTATCTATAAAATTTAGTAACTAAAACAGTAGTTTCATTAAATAATGTTTCCTTACTACATGCATCACACTAACATCATCTTATTCTATTCTACTTTGTAGAATGCTGGTCAAGCCAGCTGCCCAATTTGAAAAGCACTGCTTTATCCAAAGGAAGAAAAAAATTCACATGAGATGCTTTCCCTAAATTCTCCTAGTAAAAATATAACAAATATTAGTCATAATTAACTTATCCACTTCTATTTCTTACCAAGAGAACCATCACTGACTGAAAATACAGCACTAATTTTCAGTTCGCTTTCTTGAGTTTTTGGCTTTGAGGCATGTCCATACTCCTTAAAGATAAAAAAGAAAGGGAAATGACCACTCCTAGGAATTTACCCAAAGAAAACAACTTCTCAGATTCAAAAAGACATATGCACCCCTATGTTTATCGCAGCACTATTTACAATAGCCAAGATATGGAAGCAACCTAAGTGTCCATCAGTAGATGACTGGATAAAGAAGAGGTGGTACATATACACAATGAAATACTATTCAGACATAAGAAAGAAACAAATCCTACCATTTGCAACAACATGGATGGAGCTAGATGGTATTATGTTCAGTGAAATAAGCCAGGCAGAGAAAGAGAAGTACCAAATGATTTCATTCGTCTGTGGAGTATAACAACGAAGCAAAACTAAAGGAACAAAATAGCAGCAGACTCAAGAAGGGAGACTCCAAGAAGGGAGTAGAGGTTACCAAAGGGGAAGGGTGGGAGAGGGTGGTGGGGAAGGAGGGAGAAGGGGATTGTGGGGTATCATGATGGGTATGTGTGGGGTCACGGGGAAGACAGTGTAGCTCATAAGACAAATAGGGACTCTGTGGCATCTTACTACACTGATGGACAGTGACTGCAATGGGGTATGGGGGAGCACTTGATAATAAGGGTGAATGTAATGACCACATTGTTTTTCTTGTGAAACCTTCATAAGAGTGTATATCAATGGTACCTTAATAAAAAAGAAAGGGAAATGACAGTGTTAGTATCTAAATAAACTAAAAATTCAAGCAAAAAATAATTCTGTCATGTTTAACTCTTCTACATGCTATCAACTATAATCACCTTCACAAATACTTCAAATAAAACTGACAAGTTATTAGACTTAGCTTTAATTTTCACAAAAAGGATCTTTCAGAATTGGAAAATCTTTCATAGTTACCTCTACTGTTAAAATGTAATGTTCATATATAGGAGTAATGTATGCCAATTTCAAAACTGAGCACTACCCTTTTTTAGGCTGTGTTTATAAGGCAGCAAGAAATGAAATGAAATCTGATTAATTTAGAGCTTGGATCAAATTAATAATGTTAGCCAACAAGTTTACAAACTGTTGTATCTGTTAATGGCAGAAAAGGCATATGAGTTTCAATGCAATCTGCTCATTATACATAAACTCATCACAGCCTAAATCAGATTTATCCTTAAGATAGTCTTTAAAATGCTTTAAAATAAAATATAACCATGAACCAAAATTTTTTAAATACAAAAACCTACCTTGAAAAAGACTGTCTTTTATTCTGGGATCACAACCATCCTACCTTTTTTTTGGTGTTAAAGTAGCCTTACATGTTTCAAAATAAAAAGCTTTAAAAAATAGTCTTACTTCTCTACAACAATAGTGATAATACATGGTAACTATATCTTTAATCTCCCTATACTTAGCAAAATAAATAGCTGATATGTCAGTTCCCAAAGTTACTTTTGAAATTTCTTTGGACTATTAAATGCCAAAGACCATTGCATTAATTTACCAATTCCCATGAGGTCCATTAGGGCACCAAATGAGCTGCGTCTCCAAGGTAGGAACTACTATGCCTTCTTCATAAATGAGGAAAGTGAAGCTTAGAGATGTTAAGCAATTTTGTCCGAGGTCACAAAGATTCTAAGTACACAGGTGGGAATCAAACCCAGGTCTGTCTGTTCTAAAACCCATGCTTCCTCCCCGATAAGTGTACAAATACAGTATAACAAAATTACTATAGTGAATTCAAACCTGGGCCCAAAATTGAAATAAACTTCCCCTGTTGTAGTCTCTCCCATTTCCTTTCACTCATAGCATCTGTCATGATACATCATTTCATATTGATTTGGGTGATAATTTGCTTAATGTCTAACACCCCTCCTTCTCCCTGCCACATACACCAGACTGAAAGGACATGTCCAATATGGACAGGGACCACATCTGTTTTTCCAACGCTCAATACCCAGCAGTCAACCTGACACAGAGAAGACTATGGGTTTGTGACAGCAAACCTAAATAGATGTGATCTTAGCTCAAACAGGTTATTTAATCTTTCTTAATTTCAATTTCCTCATCCATAAATAATTACCTAACCCATAAAGTCATTATGAGGGGTAACCAATTTAATACAAATAATGTAGCATGATGCCTTTCAGCTAGCTAAAAGCTAAGCACAATTTACACAGAAAAAAAAATGCTAACTCTTATCATGATTATTTTTATAATTATGGCATTTAATAAATATTTGTTGGATGAATGAATCCAAGCCTATTCAATCTAAAGAGGATGTTCTTAAACATTACACTTAAATAACAGTATCTACTTACTGACAGCTGCAAAATGAGGAAGTTGAAAGTACCTACACACACCTTTATCTTACCAAAAAGAACACTTAAAAGAGTCAATAAAAAAAATTATTGGCCTTATCACCAACTCAGTCTCTAATCTTTTTCTAATATGCCTGTTACATTTTCCTGGTCAGTTACTTTTACTTCAAAAAGTACTCCAAACCTTCATAACTCATAAGTCCCAACCCCCACATATTTCCTGCTCAGTGATGTTTCCATTTCACCAAGAAAAAAGAGGCATTTAAGTAAGAACTCCCTCAAAATCCTGATTTCCCCCCATCCACGATGCCTACAAACTGATCAGCAAACTGTCCTAGTGTCTTACAGGAAAAGGCAACCTTCTTAGCATCCTGCCTGCATTCTATATCCCTTTCCCTCTCCCTTCTTTCAGCACTCAATACTATCTTTAATATTTCTTCAGTCTCTCTCCACCTCCATATTGGTTTCTTCCCCTCAGCTTAGGTCATAAAGAACCTATTCCCCAAGGATTTACTACTTTCTCTTCTCCCTTCACAACCACAGAAAAAGTACTCCATTCGTTCTTTACTTCCTCACTTGGATTCCCTCCTGAACCCCATGCTCTCAGGCTATTGCTTCAACTAAAAATGTTCTAAGATAGGCAGTCAGCTTACATTTGCCTAGTCCAATAAACACTTGTTTAGGTTTTATCTTACAAGGCTTCTTGGATACATCTGACATTGCCTATGACTCCATTCATTGTACTCTGATTCTGTACTTCAGTACTATGTCTTAGTGCCTTTCACTGATCTTATTCATTCCTGAAATAAATGATTCCCAAATTCAGTGGTATCAGAAGCCTCTATAAGTCTTCTTAAGGCATAGATTACTGGGCTTCAAGCTCCAGAGTTTATGATTCAGGAGGTCTGGAGCAGGATCTAAGATGAACAAGTTTCCAGGTAATGCTAAGGCTGCTGGTTGGGAGACTACTTTGAAGTTACTTGGAAGCCCTAAAGTAATCAGGTGCCCAGCTTTCTATGCTGAGTTCTACTCTCCTCTTTCTACTCTCGTTCCCTGAACACTCAACCCATTTATGACTTCAACTATCACCAAATTAGGATTACCAGATTTAGCAAATTAAAATACAAAACACCCAGTTAAATCTGAATTTCAGATAATCAACAAATACTATTTTACTCTAAATATGTCCCAAATGTTAAATGCAACATACTTATATTAGAGAATAATCATACTTTAACCAGGCATTCTACATTTTAACTGACAACAACTGTACCTACGGGTAGATAACTTTGTAATCTCTAACTGCCACATGCTTATGTGCAAATGCCTCCCAGTGCAAATTACCGCTTGAATATTCCACTAGCCCTTAAACAGACCCCAAACTACACTTACTACTTCCCCCAAATTCTGTAGCATGATGCCTTTCAGTTAGCCAAAAGCTAAACATGATTTACACAGAAAAAATGCTTATTATGATTATTTTTATAATTATGGCATTTAATAAATGCCCCTCAGCAAATTGTATCAACAAACACTCATCTTACTGAGACCAGAAACTTCTAAGAGTTCCAGGACTCCCCCTTGACCCTCATACCTCATATGTTATCTGTAAGTTTGATCAGTTCTACCCAATTACCTTCAATCTATTCTCTTCTCTCACTTCATTATTGAAATACTCATCCACTAGAAACACCACATTCTCTCACCTCTCCATGACTTGGCACATATTGTATTCTCTGCCTGCAAGTCTTAAGTGTTATAACTCAAGTGCTACCTGCCTGTGAAGCCTACCTCTCCTCTCGATAGACAGACTTAAGGGCTCTGCCCTTATCCCCCCAATGCACCCTACACAAACATTTTTTATTACCGTAATTACATTATACTGTGACTTTGTACCTGTACAGAGGTGGCATAAAGCAACAGAAAGAATACGAGTTTGAAGCCAATCAAAACTTCCTATTTCAGCTCTATGCTTCCTTTGAGTTTGGCAGGTTACTTAACCTCACCTTGCTTCAGGTGCCTCATTTGTAAAGTGGAGTAAGGACACTTCTCTCAGATTGTGGTAGAGTTTAAATGAGAATGCCTAAGACATGTTTAGCACAGCTTTTGGTAAGGTCAGTCACTCAACAAATAATTACCTCCCATTCCCACATCTTTACTGCCCCTTACACTATAAATTTCCTTGAGAGCAGAGGCCCTATCTTTTCATCTTTATAGCTCTTCTGAAAACAAAATTACTAACACCAATTAGCCTGTCTTATCATAAGGAAGGATTAGGGTCTTGAACCAGACTGCTTGGATTCAAATTCTAGCTCAACCATTTACTAGTTTGTGTGACCTTTAAAAATTCACTGTCTCAAATGTGGTATCCACATATAAATCAACTATAAAAATCAAACGAATATTCATATTTGAACTGTTTATAGTTCATAATGCATGATCAAAACCGAAAGTTTCTGTGATGACTGCCCTTGTACTGTTCACCATGTAACTTATTCACTATGTAAGAATTTGTTCTCCATGTAAGAACTTGTTCGTTATGCTTCAGAAGATTGGAGACTGATGAAAATTAGGCTTGGGGTGGATTAATGATTATACATTGAGCATTGAGTCCCCTATACAGAATTTTATTGTTGTTAACAACCATTTGATCAATAAATAGGAGAGATGCCCTCAAAAAAAAAAAAAGTACACACTTCCAATTGTAAAATAAATAAGTAACCGGGATGTAATGTATAGCATAAGGAATATAGTCAAAATATTGTAACAACTTGGTATGGTGATAGCTGGTACCTAGAATTATCATGTATATAAATGTTCAATCACTGTGTTGTACACCTGAAACTAATGTAATACTGTGTGTCAACTACCCTTCAATAAAAAATAATTATCTAAAAAAAAAAAAAAAATTTACTGTCTCAGATTCCTATGAAGTGGGAACAGTTAACTCAGGGTTGTGAGCATCCAATGGATTAACAGATGTAAAATGCTTTATTTCTGGTATCAGAAATAAGATATTTTCATTACTATTATTTCCTATTTTGTTACTTATATTATTATTCATGCTTTTAATATTGCTTTACTTAATCCAATAAAGCCAATAACTACAGAGTATAAAGTAAAATGAACTGTCGAAGCATTTTTGCCAAAACAACGAGTTTCTCCACACTGATCTCCACAGATTTTCAATCTGGGCCCCTAAAGGGTAGCCAGATGATTTTTCCAAACATGTTTGTCTTACTCTCCCACTCAAAACCCTACAATGGCTGCCCATTGCTCTTAGGATAAAGACCAGTATTCGTAAAATCCACAAGGACCTACATAACCTGTCCTCAAACTACCTACAGAGCCTCATCCTAGAAGCAGGATAGCATAGGCTCTGAAATTTGACTGCCTGGACTTGAATCCAGCCTGCCATTCATAAACTGTGATCTGTAGAAAACTGCTTGACCTCTTTGTACTTCAGTTTCCTCATTTGTAAAGTGAGGATAATGATATAGTTCTGAGAATGGTGCCATGCAGTCTAAGAAATAATAATAATCACTTAATATTTATAATGTCTTATGTTACTGTAATATATACTACATATTGATGTATTAATACCACCCATTAGTATTGCTATTATCTTATAACCATCATTATCATCAGTATTTTCATACCTTTCCTGTTCCAGGCCCACTGGTCTTGCAATTCTTAAAAAGAACCATGCACCTTTCCAATGCAGGGCTCTCCTATCTGCAGATCCGTCTGTCTGGAACATTCCATGCCTTTGCCTAGTCAATTATTTCTTCCTAACTCAGCTTACAAATCCTTCCCTCAGGGAAGCCTTCCCTAGCCAGCCTCTGCCCCCTTTCAAAATTAGGTCAGATTCCCCATTTTAGCCTTTTGTTCTTGAACATTTGTCATAGTTTGTAACTACATATATTATCTGATCAATTACTTGTGTGGTGTCTATCTCCCCTATTAACATAAGCTCTATGAAGGAAAGGATTAAACTGACTTTTCTTACTCTAGGATCCTCTAGCAGAGAAGCCACAAATACAGAAAAAAAGACTACTGTAAGATACAAGACCAATTCTTTTTAAAGTATGGAAAAACGGTAATACCTTTTTTAAAAAATAATTTATTTCAAAAAATAATTCCTTTAACATAAGGAATATACAATTACCAAGAACTTTTTCATTCAGAGCAGAAAAAACCGATTTGTTCATCTATTGGGGGGAAAAAATCAGTTTGGGTTGTTTTAACTTACAAGCTAGAAACTGCCTAAGTATTTGAATTCACCAGGTAGAAAAGAAGGCATAAAAATTTTTTTAAATAAAACTAAATGCTTACTTGAGCATTGTCAGGTTCTTCTTTAATTTTGTCCGGAAGTGGTGCCATTGCTTTGCCACATTCACCATCCAAAGGTTCTTTCATTCTAATTTTTTATGTAAAGGAATTCCCCAATCTAAAGCTAATAGCTTCTTGGTAATGAATAGCCAGACTCCTAAAACACAACATAAATGTACTCAGTTTTTTTCATTTTTTCCTTCATGTGTATCTATATTAAAGGCTTTGTATTGAGCATACGACTTCATTTAGGGTTGAGCATTTGAAAAATAACTCTTCTAGAGCCATGATTAACTGTATTCTTTCTTCCTGCTTTCTGCTCCTTTAGTAGCTACCTTCACATAAGAGAAGTCTTCCAGCAATCACTCCACTTCTCCCTTATCTTTAAAGACAGCACTCTGGTCTTTTGTATGTTTAAAGTTACGGAGGAAATTAGACAGCAGACAAAGACGTGGAAGTTACCAAGCTCTTAGAAGAAAGGACTCAGAAATATAGTTTCTCTTATGAGAATTCTCCCATGAGAATTGGGACCTGGAGGCCCAACCTCAACTTTTATTTCTCAAATGTGGAGCAAGCACACCAGGCTTCCCACCCCATCTCTAACTCAGTCTACTGGAGGCCTCCCTAAGGGCCCCATTTCTTGGACTAACTAGAGATCAGAGCTCCAGATGTCACAAGTGAACAACTGTGTGCCCTTACTTAAAATAGGCCTGAACCACCTGCTCCTTTCAGGGTCTTCATGGGAGCCATGCCCACGCAGGGGTGAGCCTCTCTGAGCTCTGCTTCACAATCGCCTTCCTGTAAACGAGAAACTCCCTTCCCCTAAGAGTAAACGTACGAAAGGACGTTTACCTGACGCAGTTAACCTGACGTAGTTAGGACGTAGTTAACCTGACGCAGAAAAGAAGCTCCCCAAAGTTGTCTTTATACAAATAGTCAAGTCAGGCATGAAAATGGGTACCTGGTTTAAAAGCTTGTGAGGAAAAAATGAGAACTTCCGACCACTCGCCAGTTATAGCAACCTATGGGCGCTCATCCCTCCTTCGAGTATTGCATTCGCTCCGAAATTCTTGTCCCCAACAATTATTCCCACGCGCGTCACCAAGTACAAATAAGGCGACGCTGTATCGCAGGGAGAGAACGCGACCGGCGAACGCCCGTCGGCGCGTCCCTGAGGCGCAAGCCGCACCGCGTCAACCACGCAGCCCTCTCGGACAGCCCCCGGCCTGGCGCCCGCCTCGTCACGTGGCCCTCCCGCGACCATCCGCAGCGCTCACCTCGCCTCCACCCTGTTTTCGTGGAGCTCTGGGCGGAGAAAGGGGAATAGGACCCGAGGACTCAAGGCCCCACACGGGCAAAAGGATAGTTTCTCTGACTAGAACTCCGCTTGATCCATAGCTACCTAACACCCAGCCAAACACGCGTGCGCACCTCTAGTGTCCGCCTTTCCCGTCATGCTCCGAAGGTAAGCTGAGTGGATGTTCCCAGCATTCCTCTTTCCTCAAGGTTGACCTCTTAAAGAGACAGAGACCCAATTGTGAAAAGACAGGGAAGAGGTTTAAGGGTGCTGTAATGCTCTCCACTATTCTTTAAGGGCCATTTCCAGAAAGGTGGCCTACTGAGAACATAATAAATAATACCTACCATTTGTTAAGCCAAGTGCTTGCTAAGCACCGGACATGCATCATTCTACTTAATCCTCACCACAACCCCAAAAGATGCACATTTTTATCTCTGATATGTAAATGAAAAGATTAATTAACTTGTTCAAAGTCAAGATTGGGTATTTTTTTCATTCAGTGTTGTTTCGGAGATACATCTATGATTTGTGAGGCTGTCGTTCATTTTGACTGCTGTGTGGTGCTCCATTGTATGAATATGCTACACTTGCACAATCTACTATTGATGCATATTTGAGTTGTTTCGAATTTTTGGCTCTTCGGAATAATGCTGGGTTTTGTGGCACATATGCTAGGTTTATACTTAGCAGTGAAATTGCTTGTTAATATATATGTAAAACTTAAGTGAATAATGTCAAATCATTTTAGAAAGTGGTTGTTTCAGTTTGCACTCCCACCAGCCATCCATGAGAGTTCTAATTGCCCCACATCCTTGCAATAACTATTACTATACATCTTTTTAATTTTAACCCTTCTCATGGGGGTCTAGTGGTATCTCATTGTGGTTTTAATTTGGACTTCCCAGATTACTAATGAGCTTAAGCCCATTTTCATGTTTTTGGATATCCAGATATTCTCTCCTAATGAAGCACTTGTTCACATCTCTTACCCATTTCTGTATTGGATTGTCAGCAATTTTCTTATAGAAATATATCTTGGTATGAGTCCTTCGTTGAAAATATGTATTGAAAATATCTTTGCCCATTCAATGGCCTGCCTTTCCACTTTATTAGTGTTTTTTATTAACATGAAAGACCCTTAGTGCTTAATGCTTCTTGTGTCCTGTTAAGTAATATCCTCCTATCAAAGTTCCTGATTTACTTCTGTTATTACTTTGTCTTTCTCATGAAGCAGTCAGGTTGCATCTTTTTCCATGTAAATGTTAAACTAAGTGCTCTTTTTTAAGTCTGTCCTTTCCTCCACTGATCTGTATTGTCACCTTTGTATAAATAAGTCATCTATAAATGTGTGGGTTTGTTTCAGTACTATGTAATCTATTCCTTCTGTCTCTATTTGTGGGAATATCACACTGTCTTCATTTCTCTAAGAGCTTTAGAATAAATCTTGGTATCTGGTAGAAAAAGCCCTCCTTCCCATTACATTCATTAAGACTATCTTGGCTTTCCTTGGTCCTCTGCATATTCATATACATTTTAGAATCAGCTTGCCAAATGTGACAAAATTTTCCTCATAAATTTTGGAATTGACAAAAATTTTGTTTAGTATTGCACTGAAAATGTATATCTGTTTTGGATAATTGGTATTTGTTATTCATTGTGTTGAATTGTGTTCCCCAAAAAGATATGTTGGAGCTGTAACCTTCAGAATGTGAGCTTATTTGGAAATAGGGTTGTTGCAGATGTAATTAGTTAAAATGAGGTTATGTTGGAGTCCGGTTGGTCCTTAATCCAATAAGACTGATATCCTCATAAGAGGAGGAGATGCAGAGACAAACAGGTGGGGGAAGAATACCAAGTGATTGAGGCAGAGATGGAAGTGCTGCAGCTGAACAACAAGGAATGCCAAGGGTTGGTGATAAAAACAGAATCTAAAAGAGGCAAAAAAAGATTATCCCATAAAGGTTTCAGAGTGAGCCAGGCTCTGCTGATACCTTGATTTTGGACTTCAAGACTCCAGAACTTTTAGACAATAAATTTCTGCTCATAGCACTTCGTAAACACCAGGCCCAGGAAACTAAGATTGCATTATATAGGGTTGCATTTTCCAACCCATTAAATGGTATATCTTATATTTATTTAAGCATCCTTAATTTCTCTTAGTGTTTTATAGTTTTTAAGTGTACATATATCTCACATCTTCCTTAGATTTATTCTAGATATTTAATGTTTTATGGTATTTTAAATAGTAAGTTTTCATTTTCTAATTGTTTATATCCAGTACAAATATAGAAATGCAATTGACTCTTGGATGTTGGTCTTCAAGCCAACACCCTTGCTAAATTCATTTATTCATTCTAACAGGTCATACTTTTCTTTAAATTCTGAGTATTCAACTATATAGAGAATAATGACAAATTCATCTCTTTCCAAGCATATAACTTATTTCATTTTTTTTGTGTTATTGTACTAGCTAAATCCTCTAGTAATGTGTTCAATGGAAATGGTAATTTTGGACATCTCTATCTTCTTCCTGCTATGTTGCTTTCAACATAAAATCATTAAATATCATATTTGCTTTAGAATTTTTCAGTTATCTGTGAGGGATAAAATATGGTAAATTCTTTACAACTCCTCTCATCAGGAGGAGGCTATTTCCTACCCCTTGCTTCTGGGTTGGCCTTGTGAATTATTTTAACAGATAGAATGTGACTGAAGTGATATGTGAATTCCCAAGCACCGGCCTCAGAAGTCCTGCAAATTCTGTTTTCACTTTCTTGGGACAGTCCCACCATTATATGTCAAGGTTAGATGGGTTAAACTACTGTATGATGAGAAATCACATGCAGAGAGTAGCCCACAATGGGCACCAAGTGGCCCATACATGTGACTGGAACCATCTTAGGTCCTCCAGGTTGCTAGATACCTGCAGCCTCATGAGTGAACCAAGGCAAGATCAGCAGCAGAATTGCCTAGCTAAGCCCAAACTGTAGAATCTTAAATAAATAAAAATGGTTCTTGTTTTAAGCTAGTAAGTTTTGGGGTGCTTTTTTTATTTATCAATTGAGAACTGTTACAGAATTGATACCTAGAAGCTGTGTACTGCCACAATGAAAATCTAAAACTTGTGATAGCGGCTTTGGAAACAGGCAGCAGGCAGAATCTGGAAAGACAGCAAGGAGACTTTAGTAGGGCTGGAAGAGCAGTGAAAAAATTCTTAGAGACTGGAGAAAGGCTAACCATACATAGCATACATTACATAACATGTTATGCAATGGCAAAATGTTTGGCAGCACTACCACTTGTAATAGCTTGGAAGATAGAAAATGCACTTAATGAACTTGTGGATCTGCCTTTGGAGATTTCCAGGCACAATCTTAAAAGTGCCTACTAATTTATTTTAACCACCTATGATAAGATTTTTTTTTAAATAAGCTAAAAAAGAAACCATTTCATTTTTAAGCAGAAATTAGACAAAATATAAAGAGTCCAGGACAGTCTCTCCAGCTAGCAAAATAAGAAGTGGCCTCAGAAAAAAGATAAAATATAGGACATTACAGGTAAAATGTGGCCTCAAGGTCAAGATCAACTCAAATACAGCTGTAAGACCTCAAAAGGAGTTAAACACTGCCTCCTAGACCCTCTCATATAGAGAAAAGGGCTTCTAAGAAACATGAGAGCATGGTCCAGGAGAAACCTGAGACACTCAAAGTGGAGTTCTGTCTCAAAAAGAAGTATGGATGTGGTGTGGGAGGCATGGAGTGAATCCCAGTGTGGAGAAAATGAAAATTTCTGACTAGGATTCCTGCCTGGCCTTAGTAGCACTCACTGTACATATACAATGTTTTTCATATTTATGGGATGTTTACCAGGGACAGAGTGGCTGGCCAGTCACAAGAGTACTGGCCCAGGGGAGGGGCAAGGAGGAAACACCCATTCTCTCCTCCTCTCAATTCCTGGTATGCAATTGCTCAGGTGTCCACCAGTCACCAGAGACCCACTCACGGAGCTCCTTCCAGTGCTATGGGTGGGGAAGTAGTGGGCAATTCTTGGGAAAGTGGGGAGTGAGGAAAGGCTGAGACCTATTGCCATGGGAATAACCCCCCATTTAAGCCCCCAACTCCTTGCCCTTGCCTTTATTCAGTCTCATCAAATTCATACAGAACTTGCCCCCAGAGGAGATCCCCCTCCTCCCAGAGCAACACCCAGTAAGATGCATAAAATATCCACAAGTTTTTAAGGGATTAATTTTTGCAAAACCAAAACCTTTGACTACAAGGAGCAATGACAGTTTGAAATGAAAAAGATCTCTGTGCCCAACTTTCTATGATGGGAAAAACTACTCAGCTGGAAGCTGGGAAAGCTACTCAGCTCAAAATATGGTCCATTTCATATGGGAAAGAAAGGTTTCTCAGTGGAAAAGTCATAAGCCCAGAGAGCAGAAGAAGCCTACATATATATATGAAATCATTCTCAGAGAACAAAACAATCAAATTGGCACCCTTTCTCCTTAGAGTAGGAGAATCTGACAACAGGTAACAAGGTAGTGAATTACTATGATCAATGACTATTACATGCCTTCTTCCCCTTTTCAACAGGAGTGTCCTTTGGTGTCACTCTGACTCTATATAATCAAGTAAATTGGATTTGCTGGGGGGCAGGGAGGGGCTAGGGAACAGATAAGTTGTCTGTTTAGTTAGCAGGTCTCTGGATTGAAAAAGTTGCACCTGAGCAGCTTTATCCAATGAACTATACCAGAGGACTTTCTTCCATAGACCTGATTGAGATGGTGACTTCCTGGACTTTGATCCAATGCCATAATGGTTTGAGACTTTTGGTTGAGCAGGTGAGTGTATTTTGATTGGGAAGGGATATGAAGTATTATGGCCAGAAGGCAAACTATGACAGTTTCCAAATATGGGCACAAACAATTCCTCCTGTCTCTGTATGTGTATGAGGTTTCTCCCAAGATGTGCAGTTAAGTTTCCTCTCAACTTGAATTAGGGCTGGCCTGTGACTTGCTTTGACCAATAAATTACAGGGGAGTGACATTTTGACAGTTATTATAGGTATAGACTTTAAGAGACCTGCCAACTTCTACATTTGCTCTCTTCGGGCCACCCTATCAACAGTTCTGGCCACCCTACTGGAGAAACCACAAGAAAGAG